ATCGAGAGTCATCACCCGATCCAACATCAACTCAAAGCTTGTTCTTGGCCGGTTTGTCACAGCCCCTCTCTTTTTCCCCTTCCAGTTTCCCTGTATTACTTCGTATAGATGTTGAGATTCTCCACAGAACTGGGGACTGTGATTGCGATTTGCGATTGTCGTCTTGTTGTTGTTGTCGTCGTCGTCGTTTTCAAGAAGCGCGTATTTGGTCGGAGTTTTGTTCAAGATCAATAGACTGTCACGTCAGCAAACAATCTCACAAATGTGCAATTATTAACCGTGCAGCCCTTGACTCGCTCTTTTCTTTTCTTTCCCCCCATCCGTCATCTATTGACTTGGTGGCCCAGGTAACAGTAACAATATGGGATCACAATCTGAATGTTTCGTCATCACTGCCAATCTTTATTTTGTTCAAAGTTCTACTCGGACAGAAACAAAGATCATGGCCTGGCAGAACTCGGACCAAAACAAGGCACATGAGAGAATATGCATAGATAGTAAGGCTCCACCACCCAGTTCTTTGTTGAGCAGGTCACTCTATTCACCAACCAGTTCCTTCAGCTGCGTTCTCCGTGGTTGAGATCATTCTTCCGGTTAGCTCTGATGACGGGTTCGTACAACATATCGCATATGTACATACATAGACAATGTCGATGCACGTCAAGAGACATGAATTGCGCGTCCTGTGCGGATCAACACGATCATTCCCCGATACGCTAGGTTGGCTCGTGAGTCGCATGCCGCACAGTATAGGTGAGGCATTCAAAGACAATAAACATCATCAGCAACATGACACGGCGGTTGAAGATTGAAAATCTTCCGACTCATATCACAATGACTCTATCCCCACAATCTATTGCAATCTGCATTCTATGTATGTACATACATCTGTTGAAACACAAAGGGATAGTGGACCCCAAGCTGGAGAGTACCGATCGACAATCCTGAGGCACGCTTCCTGATGCGTTACATGCTTCAGGTGAGGTGAATTGGTAGGGAAAGGCATGCGAAGACAGTTAACAAGCCACAGGGCAAACCCAGCCATCGATGAATATTCATGTTCACGACCTATAATTTGATGGGCAACGACGGATTCTCGAATATCTTAGTCCAGATGTTGCCCACTCACTTGCTGTACAACCTGGTTCCAATCCAATATTCCTGCTTCGTTCATGACCACCCAATACCTCCTCTTCTTTTCGTGCAAGCCCCTGGCGACTTGATATATCATTCATTGTCTTGGCGGCTGCAGCGCTTGGATGCACATGCAGTTCTCCAGTGTAATTGAGTCGGTATGTAATATTCTGAACAAGTTTCTGCTAAGGTATCTCTGCTCCATAGTTACAGTAGCATTCAATGTGTCCTTCCTACTATGTATCAGCACCCATAAGCGATCCAACCTCATCGTCTATCTGTGGATGAGGCTGGCAACTGATTATACAACAGGAATGGGTCAAGCTGGGTATGTGAACGACATGGACCAATAGGTCAGCAGAGTTGACAGTGAACAACGAGAAGACCCTTGATCTATCCTGGCGATAGTGATAAGCATATCATTAAGGTATTCACTTATTTACAGTAACTTCAAGTTTTGTTACCCCATCTTCTCTGTAACTAGGGGCGGGCGGGACATTCTGTGAAACCTCGGCAGATCAAGCTTTGCCTCAGTAGCGGTGCAATGGAAGGATCCAATTGAACTGTTTGTGTTTGAATTGGCGCCTTTGATTCTGTTACTCCGTACCTAGTGGAGGCCTGCAGCGGAAGGAACTCACCCAAGCTTTCAGGCCGATTACCTTGCCGAAGAAGTTCCATTAGGTACCTACCTAGGTAGGTATGCGCCTAGCACCTGCTGATGAGGTAACCACCCAAACGCCAAGCTAAGTAGGTACCTATTGTCATCCTTCTCGACCTCCCTCTGTGGTAGAGGAGAGCATCAACATCAAACAACATCACAGCTGTTTCAGTGCCTTGAAACCCACACTCGCGCGCGAACTGCATCAATGTCTCTTGCCCCTCTACGGATGCCGAGAGTTCCTCTCTCAACATTAAAACATCAAAAACACCTGCAGGACCCATCAAGGGGATCTGGCTAAGCCCTCTCCGGAATAAGGGACCCCGTCACGATGGGGACCCTTCAGCTAAAGAAGAGCCAAGGGTCCCAATCTCAAAGGGGCGCCAGGGTCTCTGTCTGTATGGATGCTGTGGCGGAGCCTCCAGCAAGCATGTGGGCGAATAGCTTTGATGCATTGGATCTAATCAATCTCTCTCCTCTCCATAATCAAAATCTTTTTTTGCCTCGCCAGACGCGGAGAGGGGCTCCTGCTTTAGGATCTTTATTGATATTTATTCAAGCAGAGTCCCTTTTGGCTAATCTTATCTCTCTCCGTGAGGCGGGAGCTTGGAAAAACAACGTTTTGACTACTAAACTAAGGCACGGCACCTACCTACCTACCTAGTCGCAATTGTTTCTACTCTACGCTTCAAAACCCTGGCAATACTTCAAACCTGACTCGTTACACGTTTTATCTTATTTTTCTTCGCGATATATAATTGCGCCTCCTCCATCCTAACCACCCAATTCTCTCGCCAGTCGCTGCGAAAAAGCGACATCTATTGCGATAATGAGCTCCCCAAACACTCCCTCAAAGCATGGTAGCCATGCTCAATTGCGGCGCCCTTCTCTCCTCTCAAACGAGGATAGCCACAACCCTTTGGGCACGCGCAGTGGCGCCCTCCAGTCCCTCATCCGCAGTCGCTCTCACCAGAGCATACAGAGCTTGAGCAGTTCTGTTCCCGCGCATCCTCCCTCTTTCTGGATGGGACCTGATGATGAGGAGACTGGACTGCTTCGTCACGACCATGATGAGCTTGGCAGGCTGCTCGCTGATGAGCGTCGCCTCACCCAACTGCTCCACGGCCCCCAGAACCGCAGTGCTAAACTCATTGGCAGAAGCAACCCTCGATATCGATGGGAGCAATACTGGAAGCCTGAGGAGGAGCTGGCTGCTATGTCCAAACCACTGTGAGTCCTTAATGGCGCCACCAACTACGCGCCTCGGCCTCGCGCAGCAGCTAACCAAACCCACCAGCCGCGAGTACTATGAGAGAACAAATGAGTTGATTCAGCAATATCTGTACATCGATGCTCTCCTCGACTCCGCTATCCCTCACGATCTCCTCAACGAGTACCAAGCAGAGCTTGAAGCTTCTGCATTCCGACCACTCGACGTCCCGGATACCATCAACGAGGAGCCTTCCACCACATCTGACTCCCCCCCTCTCACTGGATCAACTCCTGTATCCGCATCTATCACTCCAGGCTCATATGGCACTGTCAGCGTCAAGGCTAGCAATTCGACTACAAAACTCCCTGCTACTCGCACGCCTCAAGATATATTCCGTTCCTCCGAGAACTTACCACTTCTTCAGCGTCAGGATCAATCCGAAGACGAGGACGAGGAGCAACCTCCCCGACCTGTTACCCAAGAAGACGACAATGGCCCCAAGCCCTTGTTACCTTGGTTGGAGGATGCTGAAATTGACAGCGACGACCCAATCGTGACATTGGCAATCTGGGTCAACTTTATTGCCAATGCCATTTTACTCGCTGGAAAGCTCGTTGTCATTGTCTCAGTCCCTTCAATGTCCGTCCTGGCCAGCTTGGTAGATGCCGTGCTTGATTTCCTCAGTACGGTCATCGTATGGATTACTACGCGTCTCATCTCGTCCAGTCATCAAGACCAGTATAGCTATCCTGTTGGTCGCCGCAAGTAAGTCTCCGTCGTTGCCATCTAGCTTGTGGTGTTTCAAGTGAATAAAAGCTAACATGTAGCAAGACTCGAACCACTTGGCGTCCTCGTCTTTTCCATCATCATGATCACATCTTTCTGCCAAGTGGGACTCGAGTGTATTTCTCGCCTCATGGACCCTGAGCATGCTATCCTTGAGTTGGGTATTCCAGCTATTGCCATCATGGTTTCTACCATCGTCATCAAGGGTGCCTGCTGGATCTGGTGTCGTGTCGTCAAGAACTCAAGTGTCAGAGCATTGTAAGTCGGCGAATCCATCCATATTCGTACTCCGTATCTGACCAAATCGCAGGGCTGAGGATGCAAAGACGGATGTGATCTTCAACACTGGTTCCATCCTGTTCCCTATCAGTAAGTAATCATAGTATATCCTTTAAGGCATAACCCTGCTAATATTGGCCCTAGTTGGCTACTATGGACGAATCTGGTGGCTTGATGCCGTCGGTGGCTTGTTCCTCTCGCTTGTTGTCATCTTCAACTGGAGTCAGACCTCGGCACACCACGTCCGTAACCTTTCAGGCTTCTCCGCCCAGCCTGACGAGCGAAACCTGCTGCTATACTTGACCATGCGCTTCGCCACTGCCATTCGTCAGATTCAAAATTTGCGTGCCTATCACGCTGGTGACAAACTCTTCGTCGAGGTCGATATTGTGCTTTCTGCTGCGACACCACTCAAGGACAGTCACGATCTTAGCGAGGTGCTGACATACTTCCTCGAATCTGTGCCAATCGTTGACCGAGCATTCGTCCACGTTGATTATACTAGTTACAATGCCCCGACTCACATGCTCAAAGGATCTGCCGCAAAACAGAAATAAGCTCGAATTGCAACAACACACACCGAGGCCAGGCGGATTAAATCCCCCGCTTGCATGGGAGACGGAAAGACTAGTCACCAGAGATTTAAAGGGCATTGCAATAATATCCAAAGAGCGCGGGTGTATATAGAAGCGTATTCAAGCGCGAAGCAGTTTCGTGGGGGTATCATAAGTCGTTTTTGCAAAAAATCTTTGTTGCTTTGGAAAGCGGAGCCATTGTACTACATGTCTGTATTATCAAGAGTATTATCTCTTTAAAGAGTCGGAAAGGAAGACTAGATAAGCGTTACAATAACAAAAAAAGAAAGAAAGAGAGAGCAAAAAAAAAACCCTCTAGACGTATTCATTACTGACCCTCCTCTTGTGCCATCCCCTAATAGGGAATGCCGTTAGTCAGAAGCTGGAACTGATCGTAGATACCTGTGCTGTGACTCGAGTAACTGGTCTTGATGAGATGTTTCATGAAGTTGGCAGCGTCGCGCTCGCTCTTGTCAAGGACAAAACGCTCACGGAAATGCTTGACACTCTCAGGCTTGAAGCAGGGCAGCCCACTATCCATCATAAGCCAGACGATCTGGCTGAGCTTCTCGCAATACTGACGACTGGCCAGGAAAGCCTTCACGCAGAGCTCCTCGAAGGCCTTGAAACTCTGGTGCTCCATTGAACCACCCATGACCGCCACCATCTCGGTTGTGAGCTTGAAGGGGGCACGCTCGAACTTGATACCACCTGGGGCGATATCAAAGCAGAAACCAAAATCAATGTGTAGGATGTGTCCTGCGTCGTCAATCATGATGTTGCCATTGTGTCGATCCTTGAATTGTAATAAGTAGGAAATGACTGAGTACGCAGCCATGGACTTGACGAAGTTGCTGCGGGCTCGCTGGAATCGGAGCGAGTTCTCATTGCCGTATTTGGAGATGAAGTAGTCATACAAACCGTTGACAGCCTCACGACCAAGCATATCTCGTGAGATCGAGTTAGGCAGCACGTCGATGACACCGCAACCAGGGGCAGTGGCAGTGACTCGATAAGGGAAGACGTAGACATCCAGGCCGACATCGTGGAATATGCCTCGGAACGCTGCAATCATCTGCAGCGCCAGGACGTCCTGTCGACAATCATCGCCGACCTTGAAAATGGCCGACTGCCAGACTTCAACAGTCCTCTCTGGTGTTCCGTGATCTTCTCCATCATTCTCCTCCATCATCTCATCCACCTCAGAAACGCCTCCTTTGTTCTTCTGAATACGGAACGTTGCCATGTACGGAGCCTTGGCATGACTCTGTAGAGGCTTGCCAGACTTACGATCAATGCCGATAACAACACCATCAGGATTACTAGGAAGATAAACGCCGACCTCAACTTTGATTTTGCGCAGCTCTTCTTCAATCTTTTGCTTCTTCTCCGGTTTCGACTTCTTAATGAAGGGCTTAAGCTTTCCAGAAATGTCAGTGACTTCGTCAAAGAAAGAAAACTCTTTCTCATAAAAGTCGCGGTCCTCAGCGGCAAAACCGTCAACCATCTGAGTCATGACCGTGTCGAGAGTTGGCTTGATTTCGTCAGGGATCTGAGCGTCATCGTCCTTGTACGAATTGGCCTTCATGTTCCAGATAATCTGGTGAGCGAACAGCTGGGAAAACTGAGCTGTTTCAAGGATATAGCGCTTGACATATCCAAGGCTATCGTAGCGGAGAGACTGGACAATTTGGGGAACATAAAAGAATGTTACGTCGACGGAATGGCTTTCCAGCGCACGCATGGCGTACTGAATAATGAAAGGGTGCGACTGGTAGGCGGGTAAGAACATGGTAACGGCTGTTACCGGGTTCACAGGCTCCCAGTACAATAAATACTGCCGAAACGTTAGTATTGCAATGTCAGTCAAGGTACGAAACTTGCCTTGAGTTGTTGTGAAGCAACATCATCGGGAAGAAATCCCCCAAAGATCAGGTGCAGAGCCTCAGGCTCGAAAATGGCCTTTTCAGGCATGGTGAGAAGCAAGAACCTGATGTCGCGCTGCAGGCGAGGGAATGGAAACCTAGTTGCGAGTTCAATGGCAATAGCTGGGTCCTGCCACCATGCAGTCCTAATGAGTGGTAAGAGTGCAGCTTCGGTCGGTGCCTTGCCGGCAGTTGGGGTCAGTGCCTGATTGCTTGCATTGTTGAGTGGGTTTACCCAGACAATTAGGCGCAGTTGTTCATTTCTGAGAAGGAGATCGAGCAGCTGCTCTTTGGACTGCAGAGACTTGACATTACCGACAGTCTGGGCGCCTATAGAAGAGACCTGTTGGAGGGCCGCTAAGACATCAGAGATAAGACGGATCTCGGTCTTCATCTGCAATAAGTTACTGCCAAAAGACCACTTGGGCGCAGACCTAAACCAAGACAGGCCAGCCGTAAGAAGTCGCTCCTTGAGCCTCCACTGTGCTGCAGGCTTGAGAGTGGTGCTGGAACGTAGGATGCGCAGACCAAATAAGACGATTTGGAATCGAATCTCTCTGGCCATTGGATGAGTTGCAGATTGCTTCATTGCCTCCAGTGTAAGGTCAATCATCCGCAGGAACACCTTCTGGATGTCAGGGCTACCGAGCCTGGTAGCATTATAATGGCTGGCAAAGAATTGGAGCAGTCGAGTGTGGGGAGAGAGAATGTCATGCACAATCTGCTTCTTCTTGGCTAGAGCTTCCAATTCGCTGGGTGCAAATTCTTCTTTCAAAAAGAAGGGGTCAACATGATTCAGTGTTGGGCTGAAAAGGCCGACCTTTCGCGTAAGAGAGAACTCCCATTGCTGGACGATCTCATTCAGCAGTCTCGACTCCTGTCTTGGGTTCTCGTTGATCACACCAAGCCACAAGGAAACACCCAAGTTGATGGATTGCTTGGTGAATAGGGCGAATGGAATGCTCACAAGGTGGTGAGCAACAGCGGCTTCATCCTTGCTCGTGCGGCAAAGAAGTGCTGCTGCCCTACGAAGAATATCCCGGACTTCAGTGATGGATGTACTCTTCTTGCTGAGAATTCTTGCCTCGATATGAGCGAGTGCAGTAGTGGCATTGGCACTCTCCTTCACAGACGACTGCACAAATGACAAGCGACGGTTGTGATTCATGAAGCTCATAAGTTCTGTACCGCGATCCGGAAGCGTCTCGCCGTACCGATATTCTTGGCGAGTTGTGTACTGCGCAACGAAGGCAGAGGCTGTGTTGACACTCGAGTTGCCAATCTTGTCCATGGATTGGAGACGATTGTCTGTTGATGGAATAACTGATCCGAGCTCAAGAGCAAAAGACCTTCCCAAAGAGACATGGCCGTAAGCGCCTTCGTCACTGAACTCCGACAGATATGTCTGCAGAATTCCCTTGACATCGAGAGGAGAGAGATTGATGGCAGAATTGACCCATACCCTGGCCTTCCGGTTGAGGATATCTACTGTCCACCTTCGAAAATCGTAGTCATCTGAAAGCTGCACAGTCACTCCGCCAAGTTCTGACGTAAAAGTAGACCTAGGAGCATAAACATCTGTCTCAGCTTCCAAGCAGCTAGACCACATAAGCGAGAGCAGTTCTATCAGTGCGAAGAGTGATGACCTATAGCAAAGGGCTGAAGGAATTTCGCGGAGGAAGCGATCTGCACAAACAAACGCGGCTTGTTGGACTCGTTCGATACGATGGCAGCAGCTACAGAAGATAGTAGCGAGCTGCTCGGCCGCGTACTGGGCAGAAAAGGTTGGTTCGGCGCCGTTTTGAGTCTTTTGAATATACTTATCCATGACAGCAGCTGCAACACCCTCCATGGCGCTGCTCAGCTCTCCCTTGGCCATGCTCGGCTCCAGGAAATAAGAAAGAACCTTGGTGCAATCACCTGAGTCGGCTCGAAGAATTTCCATCAAATAAGCTGCTTGCAAGAAGATCACCTTGCGATAGCTGAGGCTCCTAATCTCATTGGACTTGGAGGGTACAAGATCACTCATAAGCTTCTTCTGCAGAGATTCTCTATCGTTACTCATACCACGTCGTAAGACAGTATTAAGCTCGATATCACTTTCGACCTGCTCGCCTCGCTGCTCAGCCACAAGAGGTGGGGAGTGAATAGCAATCAGGCGCAATTCTCTCATATACTGTTTGCCTCGATCTGTGTTGGTTGTAAAGCCATGAACCACGATGTTGAACCAAGCGTCTCGAAGAAGAGAATACATCTCGTCATCGGCGATGGGCTCCAAAGCAAAATCGTTCGTGGACATAAAGATTGCTAGCGGGTGAAGAAGTTCCGCGATCTCCTTTGCAGCCATTTGTACGTCAGATTCCTTGGTATGTCCAGACGAGTGTACATCACCAAGTCCGATGATGCTGTCAAGCAGGTGTTCGAAGTAGATACCAAACAGCTGCGAGTCACGCCGTAGGTTGGCAGAAATGAAAGTGCGAGCATTTCTCACCTGCACAAATCAGCAAAATCAAAGTATAGAAAGTCATATTCACTTACCGCTTCCAGTAGGAACAGCTGGTTTTCGACAACCCCAGTATGGCAAAGTTTACTAAACAACTTGAGCAGAGAGCGAAACTCGAGTTGTCCGCCCTCGAGAGCCAGAGCTGCTGCTCCACTGATAATCCGGGCATCCACGCCTGTATTGACCTTTTCGAGCTTTTGTTGAAGCATAGACTGAGCCAGTGCGGTAATTTTCTCATCCTTGAAAGCAGCAGCAATTCCACAAATGGTTTGCACGACATTGCCAGAAACGATCGCAGTCTCCTCCTCGCCATACATCTGTAGTGAAATCGAGCTCCCAATGGACCGACGATTGGTATAAATGGCATTAAGCCCTGTTTCACTTGCCGTTCCATCAATCTGATCGTTCACAAACGCTTGGTCCGACCCAGGGCTGAGTACGTTGCCTAGGGTATACAATGTGCCGATGACAGCATCCTTCGAGAGCATTTTGAGAGCATAGGCCAAGCTATTGGAAGCTATAGTGACGATATCTTTCTGTGGGGCATCCTGAACGATGAACCTAGGGAGGATGCGGCTGACATTAGACGAGAAGGATGGTGAGATCTGACAGATCAGGGCCAAACATCGCAACGTGACCGATGCAAGAGTAGGGTCAGCCATCTGAACAGAGTCATCCAGGGTTTCCTGAAGCCAGTTCATGAGAATCTCTGTATCAGCAGCATCTTCATTGAGCAGAGCGCAGTTCAAATAGGAAATGAGCGCCGCAGCCTTCACAGCGTAAGCGAGACTCTGCTGGTCAGGAGATCCCATACGGATGAAGTCAGCACCACCTTCGATGTACTGGATCTCTTCGATGGCCAGGGCAGCATATTCCTCAACCGTCTTGAAGTCTGCTTCGAGCGCAGAGGACGCGATGTTGCAAAGATCTTCACCCTGGGCAATGTAGATATCCAGCACGTGAGACTCTCGCAGAGAACGAGGGTCCTTTACCATCAGCGAAGTGCTGGAGACAATAAGATGAGCGAAGCTGCGATGGAGAAGCATAGCTCCGAGAGGCCGTCCAGAGGAGGCATAGTGGCGCAGGTATCTCTTCCATTCTTTAACCTCGCGATCCTGGCTATGACAGTTGCGAATGGTGGACAGTGCTGTTTCCACAGCGATAAGGAAAGGCTCAGAAAGCAATTCTCTGATTTTCTTGATCATGGCTAGTCGACCGCCAGATCTCCAGAAGTCGGCCTGAGCGGCTGCCGCATCCAAAAATCCCAGCAGAGCCACGGCAATTGTCACAGTTCGAATTGCATCCTCCAAGTGAGGATTCTCAGGATCCCCTGCTTGAGGTGAGATGATGCTCTCAGTAGCTCGTCTACAAGAGTTCACGAAGGCCCAGATCTTATCGGTCACATTCTCCTGAAGCTCATCGTAGTTGATGCCAAGTGCCAACAGGGCCCCTGTCACATGAAAGGCTAGAGCCTCGGTCGGGGACGGGTCGATCTTTCGGAAGAATGGCGAAGGGAGGAAAACCTGTATATGTGCTTCAAGAATATACGGGAACAGCTGGTACGAGAGTCGCTGAGCGCTCTGGCTCGATTTGATCTTCGGTGCTGTCTTGCATAATGCGATCAAGACCTCAAATTCGCGAATAGACTACAATTGTCAATCACGCACTCACTATTGGAACCCGAAGTTCTATGAACAACCTACCATAGGCACTCGGCCTAGCGAGCTCTTATTCTGATAGCCATTGACATAGTCCTTGCTCTTCGCGCCGGCGTGGCAGGCCCTACATAACCGGTCGAGATCGGATCGGTCGAAGGATGTTGTAGAGCTAGACGCAGATAGCGAAGCTATCTTCTGGAGCGCCTTGGAGCGAATGTCGCCGATCATCTTTGGTGCGTAGGCGGTGCAGCCGCTTCAAAGCATAGGCAATTCGAAACAAACACCGACAAGAACCAAGTCAACAAATTTGTTTCCGAAACAAGACCTTCAAAATGACGATGGTTGTTAGGTGAACTTTAGGAGGTGAATCCCTGCCAGTCTGCGTGCTTAGTCATCGTAGCTACCCCAGCTCTGCAGGTTAGGTGGGCAAGGCTGCAAGCTTGACGCGTGCGTCTGAACCTCAGCACTATCGTCAGTGACAAGGCAACACCAGATCTCATCATCAATCACCCACTCCGAATTCCATCATCTCTGCACATCGAGAAATATCACACAGCTCTTACTTGGACTTTCCTTCATATAGACCGCAATCATGGCTGCCATGTTCAGCCAGAACCCTTTGATGAATGGGCCCAACTATTCATTCTCCGATGCCCCCAAGACCAACAGCGGCGAGTTTCGAGAACATCGATTTAACCCGTGAGATACCTCACGTATGCATCTCTACGGCTTACAGCTAACTGATCCAAGCTACACCGATAATGGCGGTTCGACTCTTGCCATTGCTGGCGCAGACTTTACCATCATGGCTGGTGACACCCGCCACACCAGCGGTTATAGCATCAACTCTCGCATGTCCCCCAAGGTCTTCCGAATCGGAGGCACCACTGCCTCCCAGGAGGATGCTACACTAGTCCTATCTGTCGTTGGCTTCGCTGCTGATGGTGAGGCCCTCCGCGACCACCTCGACACCATCTGCAAGATCTACCGTTACCGCCACGGCAAGCCCATGACTGTCAATGCCTGTGCCAAACGACTCTCTACCGTTCTCTACTCGAAGCGATTCTTCCCCTACTACTCGCATGCGATGCTCGGCGGTCTGGATGAGGAGGGCAGAGGCGCTGTGTACTCATACGATCCCGTGGGGAGCTATGAACGGGAGCAGTGCCGAGCAGGCGGTGCTGCGGGCAGCCTGATCATGCCTTTCCTGGACAACCAGGTCAACTTCAAGAACCAGTATATTCCCGGAAGCGGAGAAGGCCATGAACTGAAGGAGCGGGAGCGACGTCCTCTTACACGAACAGAAGTCGAGACTGTCGTCAAGGATGCCTTCGATGGTGCGGTGGAGCGTCACATTGAGGTTGGTGATAACCTTCACATGCTTATCATCACAGCAGACGGTATTGAGGAGACTTTCTTGCCCTTGAAGAAGGATTAGATGGCAGGAAAGGCGAAAGAGGAATGTATAACAGGGGATTACTTAGACGCCACGAAATCAATGAGCCCTCCCGACGGTCAATTACGAGGCGTATTGTGGTGTGATGAATATGAATATGATACCGAGTCGCTTCAACGACAAAAGAGAATGTCGAGCTCCGTGAATTGCAAACTAACAGGTGGCCAGTGAGGCTTCAGGATGCAAAGGCCTTACTTAACTTGGGATTCTAGGTTTTATAAATTACTTTAGGCGGCACTGAGCTCTGCGGATCGCACATACCTGCTATGCACTGGACATGAGGAACATTTTCCAACAGCACTGGAGCCATCGTGTTTGACCAAATATTCACAGAGATCACGGGCCCCTAGATCACTTACTGGCACTATGTGATTGCAGTTTCAATTTCGTGACTCGGGTGTTGGCTAAAGGTATGTCAGGTCAAGTCACCTCATATTTGTATCAATTGGCTTTTGATTCTGTCTGCCCAACAACTAACTTGCTGCGGTGGCGGTATGGACAACAAGTGATGGTATGACGGCGATTTGACCTTGTAACCTTGCAAGGTGTGAAGCACTTGTGACGGCATACTCGAATTACATTTTTAATCACCAAAAGGTTCAATGGCATACCAACACTCGAACATCCTATCAGCATACTCAGCCAGTGGTTCAGACCATCCCGAAAGAGATGAACTATTCACTTCACCGGGCAACGGTGCTTGTTTGCGAATGAGTTCAGCTGTACCACAGCGATTCACCCTCACAATTCTTGAGCGGCATTTTCATGAGTCTGGCATGGCTATGTGTTACTTGTCTGTCTTTCTGTTGTACTTTGAGTGTGGACAAGTAGCATTGCTAATCAGTCTAATTAGAGATGGAATGGTATCGGCACACGGCATCTGAGAGACCCATGTCGAGCTGAGCTCTTTGGTCCAAGTCACTGTTGCAACATTGATCATCTCAAGAGACACTTAACATTAGTCCGCGGATAGAATTACATCCGGGAGAGTGAAACACCACTTACACTTCTAAGAGCGCGTCTAGACTCTTCTGGAGCGCCTCTATCGCACCACAAGCGCGGCAAATGGCAACACCACGTTGGTTCATTAGACTCAAGCGCTTGTTACTTTTCCTAGGCCCGATAGTCATCAAAGAACAGTCCGGTTATTTGCTAGCAAGGCTTTCTTTCTGGTGTTGATCAGACTCAGATGCTAAACATCGAGCGAATACCGTGGCAGTCTAATACCGCCATGCTGTTTCTTTAGCCACGTAACTTATCATTGCTAGCTCATCCAGTCTCTATCCCGAAGACGCTTGCAGCCCTGCCCTGCCCTGCCCACACCGGCCGGTCAGGTCTACCGTCTCTTTCTTAGCCTATCAAGTCCACTACACACTTAACAACTCTGATAGGTGAGGCAAGACCTGGTTGCAGTAGTATAGGGTTATTCAAGGCCCAATCGTTGCAGTGATCCGCCCTTTGCCTCAATGGCTGTACATATGTACAGAGATCCATCGAGGTATCCCAGCTAAGCAATGCCCCGATGCAGGGAGGGTGTGGACAGGATCTATTTTTTCCGTTCTCTGCAAGATACTGTATTTCAATATCGTTTGGATGCGTGAGTGTCTCGCTAACATAACCGATGTAGTGGCGTCTGCTCCATCGCACAATATGCATGACCCGAAATAAAGGTCGAAGTCATGATACACTGCCGGACACCACACCTCCTTCACACACCACAGACATCGAGCCTTGGATCTTGAGCAACTCTCGAGGTGTTGTATTATGATAAATCGCCTTTTCAGCTGCCCAGGGGTTAGCTATCCTTGCTTTGGACTGGTATTGGTGCCCCCGGGAAAAAAATGAAATTAAGACATGATAGCCTAGGTATGTACTAAGAGTATCATGCAGTAGTGATCACACTTCTGTTGGGTAGTTGGCAGGTGAGCATTTCACCTGGTGTGTGTTCAGAGAACTACCCTTTCAATGTGCGTCGTAGATATGCCGTACAAGCCAGTTTCGTTTGCCCGCTTCTTCAATAGAATGAGGTTTCTGAATACGGACTTGTCCAGGCTACTGGCTTTCCTTTCGGCATACAGATGAAAGGCGTGTTTGTTGTGCAAAACTGGACCAGCTACCCAACAAATTCGAGCTATACAACTTCTACGCAAATAGATTCTTACAAGGCTATCGATACGCACAACTACTGCCTAAGTTAGTGGCAAGCTTCTGATTACATCGGAGGTGACTATGCTTAGCCAGGACTTCTGACGGCCTCTGTTCCTCTGAAGATTATGGATGCGCGTACTCGGCTGAAGAAGCGTCCTGGTCTGGTCTATTCGCCACCTAAGCATACGTAGCTTCCAACAATCAAGTGCTGTCTTCCATGTCTCATAAGGCCTAGGAATTGTTTTTAGCCATGCATGTCGTTGAATCGAGGCTGGCGGCTGGCGGCTAGCTGACATGAGCGAATGTTGTGTGGCTGATAACAATACGCTGCTGAGTCTACCGTACAGGACTTGTAACGTAACTCAATCATGGTCGTATTTCCGCACTTGGGCCGGGGCTGTTTAAGTTTCTTGGTTCAGTCTTGGTCTAGCTTTCTTCCAAGTTTTGTCAAACTCTTCCATCCTTGGACATGGAACTTGCCGTCATCGGAGAAATCAGAAAGGCGCCTTATTCATTGGCGAGCAAAACTCCTACAATGATGCCCACAGCCCAAATGTTGAGGAATGATCAGTTGCTATCGCAGGGGTTTTCCGGCATTTGATGGTCAAGTTGGTGTCGGCAGATGACATTTGTTGTAGCGGTTCGAAAGCGCTACAGCAATCTAGTCAAAACGGCACCGAACTCAAATGCTGACGACTTACATAACCGTTACCAGTCGGCTGACATTTGCCACCTCTGATGGTCAAAAAACTGAGGCATGTGATAGGGAGTAGAAGCCCAATACACTCAATTTTCGTCAAGTGTCCATACTGGTTAGGTAGTAGACAGAACTGAAAACGGTGAGAGAGTTACATAAGGTAGCGGTCCGTTCTCAAGACCCTATCTAGCCAACCTAGGATGCAGGGTGCAACGCATTTGCCACATCAGAGGGAGCTGTCAAAGCTTTCTTTCATCATCATCTGTCAACAGCCTTACACCAGGTTCTTGATAGCCCACGTCGAGCGAAATTGACGTCGGGGTCCTCGGCTCCTCAAGCCCTCAAATCAAGACAGGTTCACGGCGGGCTACGCATCGGCACAGAGCTTCAAGAAGGATGATCAATGCTGATAATCGTTTCACAAGCCTGACAAGCCACAATGACCCTTGCTGCGGACGTCCCGACAACAGTGAAGACGGCCAATTGCTGTTTTGGTCGCGCCATCGGCGAAGACTACCTGTAACTGTAAGGCATGTAAACGGAGCACCGTCGTCATGGCGTCACTGACTATTGTGCAACAAGAGGTAAGATAGGCATTGGAAGCGCCTAAAGCAGTCAAGATCAACGATGGAGGTTCTGGACCCTGGTTGACAGGCGGGTGGCGAATGCGTCAGGCAAGCAGGCAACAGTCGTCGCTCTATCTGAGGGCCCAATAACCTTGATTGCGGGTCACAATTGTACCACAAGTTGAAGGCTTTCCACATTTATTTTTGGTGCAGATTTCTGGCACACAAGTGCCGTACCTCGCTGACTCTTTCTTTAGCCGATCATACATGACATCTCCCCCTCTACACGAACACGCAGATTCAACATCAAGTATTCTTGTTAAGAGCCGGCGGAGCTTTTCATCCGCCAACCTTAATTAGGCCCGAGTTCTAATTGGCTCTTCAAGTGGCGTCCCAGGAACCCCATCAAGGGTCCAACTAAACACACACAGCGGTGGTAGGGCGCACACATGTCGTTAGTCCAAAAAGCCGTCGTACGACCGGGAGCTCGGATCACTGGCCGAAGAGCAATGACCGGCTTCTGGTAGCTGAATGGAGTCAGTGTTGATGTTGAACAGTTTACTGGCCATTTTGACCTCCATAGTATTGCTATTGTGAGGTGCTCAATTTCGAACTCTGGAATTGACTACGAAGGTTTCTAGCAGGAGGGGTCTACATATCTACGCATGACTAGGTTGTGTCTGAAAGGCAGAATCGTGAAGTGGGATGGTCGATCATCCACTTACGGATGTCCTGAGGTCCCTAGACAAGCCCAAGAACAGCCATGAGATTACCCAAGTTGTCAGGACCATGCGATTGTCTCCAATAAGACGCTAGTGTCACGGGAAGCTGGTCGCCCCGGCACTAGTTGAGAAAAGTTGGTGGGTGATGGAGAATTAAGAAACGGGATAGATCGACATCCACGAAAAGGACTCTTGAGCCATGGCATTTGTTGCTACTCTACTCCGTACTTACACAACTGATTGAAAGCTCAGAAGCGACAAGGATCTCGCCTAGGAACGTCACTTCGCTACGTAGGTACCCACTGCCTCCATATTGCTGTCGAGCTGCAACGTCGCGATTTTCAGGTACTGTCTTTTGATGATATGAATGGCGAGAGAAGAGGTAGCAAAGCTCAGTTATCCATGCCAGCCATTGATCAAGAGCTACCTGGGCCCCCAAACAGAGAATTGTCCGCCGGACCGCTCGGATCTGAGGGGAAGCTGTGGTTCTGGCAAGATTGCTACTAAGTCGGCAGAAATCCAAGGTCAGGCTAGAGTGCAAATTGTAACCTGCTCAGTCATCAAGATCAGCGAATCATTCATTATACAGCCATTGTAAGATTCTGCCATGAAAAGTACCTACGGCGAGTGGGTTTGTGTCCTCTCGTGCAAGCAGAAGCGAATGCCGGCGTGGAGCTTTTAGGTCCAAGACCGTACGTAGACCGGGCTAGGCCATCAGGAGTGGTTCGAAGCCCCGTCGATGGTCCAACTTCAGTGTTGCGAGATTCAAGGAAAACCAGTCAAAGAGCGCCGGAGCTCGCCCGGATAGAACGCCACATGGAAAGGCAGACAGACTGTTGAGCATCCGCTGGGTTGCATGGTAGTGGGGGAAGCAATGGCTCATGCTCATGTAATTCAGAATGTCCCATAGTGCCCGTTTCCTACCAGTAATAATCACGTCAAACTTGATAACTAACACCAGCCAAGTGAAGTGAATTGAGTTCAAAAAGGATACGTACATGCTGGCAAGGCGACTTGGCGGGTCTGTCGCGCGTGTCGATCAGATCTCAGGGACCTCCACCCTGCCGCCTCGGCTATTCCCTGTATGCAGATCCCTACTCTGTAGGCTCATGAACAGCTGTCTGAGGGACTGAGTGGCAATAGCCTCGTACGCGTCGCTGAGTCGCGAGCGGACGTTGCTTCTCTTTATGGGGTTACTGGCGCAGTTGGCCGGCTGCAGAGCTAGAGGCTACTTGGTGCTTGATGTTGGGCATGTTTGCAGATATGTTTCGAATGATTTCTGATATCGGGAGACTCTCTAGACTCCTTGATATATCATCATGCACATACTTGACTTTCCAGGGCATTGTACTGTGCTGTAGTTACGTGGAAAAATCCCACGTATCGAATAGAGTTGCCGTGTGCCGTTCTCCAAAGATTCTCATGATACAGAGTAGTAGTCCTACTGACCTCCATGGTGAGCGCCAAAAATGCCCTGTAGCCTGTACCTTCTTAGCCTTAAGCTGCTTCGTAGAGTTAAAAATCTGGGGCAGGAACAGGGCAACCTTCAGTGGCGAAACGGTTCCTTCCTACCAGCGGGACGGGGAGTTTTACGTTCCCATTCCATCTTGAACGGTTCCTTCAGCAAAAACTCTGCTTGCTTACCCAAGCCAAGTAGGAACCTTATGTCAGAAGTCATCAGGCCCGTTTTATGTTTCATGACGTTTCAAGCCACCAACCTACCCTCCCATGCACCAACCATATTCTATTCCTGTCCGACTTTGGAACGCAATTGCACATCATTCTAATTACGGAATCCAAGTCATCCTCATGACGGTTGTTGGGAACAAGAAGACATCAGACGACATGCAATGCGATTGACTACAGACACATGCCTGGGTGCATATACTATTATCCACGAGACCCTCTAAAGCATCAGAGACCTTCTGATTTCGGAGATTGTGCTTTCTGGTGGACCCCGCTAACATCCGTTTTCAGGGACCGTTGCCTCAAGACGCTGGGTTCGCTCGCAGAGCTCGACATCGAAGAAGCCATTCATTCCCCACAGGAACAACAAATTTAGAAGTCCAATGCGAAGTACCACATATCATATCACGGCTAGGGCATTTCTTGGCGTCGAAATGGTCTTGTCTCCTCTGCCATCGCTTCATCACTCCATACGTACTATAACAAGGTTTTCTCTCCACCCTTTACTATTCGAACCCCCCCATCCCTGTCATCCCGGTTGGGTTCTGCTGTGGCTGTTCTTCTTACACCTTGTTTCCCTGCTGCCGGCGCCGTTGCTCGGTTCGAGCTTCGCTCTCCAATCACATTTCTCCGTGGACTCTTGACTTCATTCTCGTTGCGAATCTGTGGCACTCGGTACCTGAATGTTCACCAAGATGGTGAGTGCATGGTCGGTGGCGGTAATGGGTAGCTCAATGTTGCGACCTCAGCCACCGTCTCACTGGATGATTGTCTTCCTTGACATAGCTATGTATACATGCAACTTTGTTGGAACTCACCAGTCGAACAGGGGACGCTGCCAATCTGTTCCAAGAATGATCTGTGAATGATCTATACCTGTGCCATTGCCAACATCGGCCTCGCCTAAGCTCAAGTATCACCGATGGATTGCGGCCTTTGTGACTTGAGCATCGTGTGGCTTGACGGCTTGTTGTTGCCGTTGAACTATCGCTCTCTTTTACCTCTTCTTGTCCAAGCTCTCCTCTCCACCACTTCCCTCCACTCACTCCTCCACCTATACGGCCCTAACAGAATCCCATCTAAGAGCTCGACCAACTTGGGATCGCCCATCGTATTTCCCATCCTTCATACCCATCTGTAGCCCACACCCCCCATGAATCTATCACACTAGCATCCCTTCAACTGATCTCTTTTTGGTCCTCTATCCCTCTTAACCCTGCATTTCCTTACACTTCCTTACCTTCCAAGCCTTCCTTGAGCCCTAGCTTCGGAAGCTTGGACTATTAGCCACTCGCTATCTCCGTTGTTAAAGCCTCTTCTGTTTAATCGTTGGCTTAGGTTTCGCCCCTTGCCCCCCAAAAGCTTCTCAAGCCTCGAAAGTCTTTAGGAACCGTTTCTCTTTCTGAAAGCTCACAGGTTCAGGGGAGCTTAACTTTGTCAGTTTGCATTTCTGGTAACCTTCGTTTGTTGTTGAAGCTGGCATTGCCTGTTGCCAGCTCTTAAAGGACGACCTAGGGCTCTTCAACGTATGAACGAATGTTTTCTCAACTCATTTTGAGCCCCAATATCTCCTTTGCCGCTGTACTTACTCATCGCAGCTGATTCTTAGTATCGCGGGTCAAGTCCAACTTTGTGGCTGATCGCCGACTTCGAATAGTTGACACTGCACCTCAACACTACAACACTCTTCCAGTGGTTCCTGGGCTAAGCTCATATCCCTGTTACGCCATAAGGAAACACAACCAAGCCCCATTTTCGATCTCGTTTTATCATTCAGCTCCTTTCCCTTCCGAATTTGGCATTGGGTTAACGGGTGTTCAACGACTTGGCTAGTTTCCCCGTGGGGGCAATAATACACGCCTTTCTTCGGGCAGTTTCTTATAGGAACTGTATTTACTGCCGCCGCCACCTTGTCCCTTGTTTCACAAGCAGATTTATTATATTCAAAACGACAAATTTGTTTCTCCTTTCAGTCTTTCGTTGGTAAGAGCTGGGGTCCTGATATATTTCCCCCGCCCACTGAGCGCTATCGTCGGCTCTGACACATAATCGGCCACAAAATTGCTCGATAATTTCCCCTCTCTACCCTTTCTTTAATAGCAGCCAGTCAAATCCGCCCGAGAAGCTCTAGGCGGCTGCTCTGCTGCAGGAAAAAGCCCTGTTGACTTGTGACTTCGGCACGATTAGCAGGCCTCCTGGTGTTCATCTGAACAATCACAGCTTTCAGGCATCGGATTTTTGCTATTCTTCCCTCACTCCAATAGAGAACATATCCAAGGTATTACATTACCCTTCATCAAACTTGTTGCTATAAGCCTACGTCTGAGTTGGAGGAGTTGCTAATCTGACCTCAATAAGCACCAGGTTATCTCTCACCTTCTATCAGAGTACCACCAACAAATACATCAAATGGGGGATATAGCCAGCGCCCAAGTCCCAGATGTGGGAGCACTCAACCAGGATACTGCAAAGACTGTCAACACAACGATACCTGGCGATCCTATGCCACGTCAAGACGAGCCTCGTACTATTCAGGGGCATGAGTTCTCTTCTCACACTCAAGAGCATCCCACCGTTTCTCAGCACGCGTTCTCAACACAGTTCGATATGTCTCAAGCCTCTTCGGGTCCCCGCCCTGGGCCATATAACATGGCCCCTATGGCCAACACCCTCCCCACGATGGGTTTCCGCCCTGGACAGTATCCCCAAAACGCTCACCAGCGCATGAATCCCGCGGGATCTCCACCTATGATGCAGCACATGTCCCAGTTTCCTGGCCATCCGCCACTTCCAGTCTCCGGTCAAGGTTACTACTTACAGCCACAGGTCGCACCGTACTATGGAAATCAGATGCAGCAGGCACAGGCAGCGAACATGATGTCTCAAAGGCACAACATGGCATACTATCCCAACCAGATGATGATGGGCTCTCAGCAATCTCCCTATTACTACCCCCCTGGACCCCAGTATCAACCTGCCGCGCACCCAGTTCCGAACGGGGCGTTATCTGGCCACCATGTCGCTGGCGGACTAACAACCAGCGACCCAAGGGCGATGGCACAGACTGCAGACATGAGTGGAATACATCCACAGGGGTTCAAGCAGGGGCAAGGTAGGGCTGGGAAGCAATCTCCCAACAAAACTGAGCTAAAGCAAACCTCAGATGGGACAGAGAGGCGAAGGAGTGCTGTTCGGGGCCCTCCCAGAAAGCCGCGACAGAGTGGTAAGCTACTTACCTCGATGACCGTCAGTGTCGGCTAAACTCTTGAATCAGGACATGCAATCTGGATCGGCAACCTTCCTCCGCAAACCGACCTTATGAGCCTCGTTCATCATGTATGCAAAGAGGCCGTAGGATTGGAATCACTGTTTCTCATCTCCAAGAGCAACTGCGCATTTGCCAATTTTAAGGATGAGGAAACCTGTGCTGCAGCACAACAGAAGCTACACGATTCGAAATTTCAGTCGGTTCGCCTCGTCAGCCGGCTACGCAAGAGCACAGTGGAGGGTGCAGCCGGTGTAACAGCTCCAACTGGTCCTTCGGTGGCTGCTGCAACAGTAGTTAAGACGGATCAAGTTGCCGACAAGTCACCATCTCCGAGCGTGTTTCCAAGCCCGGCGTCCGAGCCCTCAGGGGCCATCAAGCTTGGAGCTTCCGGCGAGAAGACACCGCAGAAGGACAAGTTCTTCATTCTTAAGAGCCTGACAGTGGAGGACCTCGAATTGAGTGTTAGCACTGGCATCTGGGCTACCCAATCTCACAATGAAGAAGCATTGAACAATGCCTTCAAGGTACGTTGGTCTTTGAGCAATACCATAGAGCTACTTGTCAACTAACCTTCCCGAACAGGACGCTGATAGTGTATACTTGGTCTTCTCGGCCAATAAGTCAGGCGAATATTATGGGTATGCTAGGATGATATCGCAGATCAACGAAGACCCTGCGGCAGCCATCGAATTTGCACCCACGGCCCAGGCAACGAGCGACCTTGACCTCCCGAAAGCCATACCGACCGAAGCGAACGAACAAGTCCCCAAGGGGCGTATCATTGACGACTCTGCTAGAGGCACTATCTTCTGGGAGGCGGATCGTGGTGATGCCGATGCCTTGTCTGATGCGGAAAGCGAAGCATCAAGCACCAAGAGCAATGCAGGGGACGAGGGTGCTGCCAAGACATGGGGAAAGCCTTTCAAACTGGAGTGGCTATCCACAAGTCGACTACCATTTTACCGCACGAGAGGATTGCGCAATCCTTGGAACTCGAACCGTGAAGTAAAAATTGCTCGAGATGGTACGGAACTAGAGCCTTCAGTTGGACGAAGACTTATTGGGCTCTTCAACCGCGCGCAGAACGCAGAGGCAGTCGACGCCGGCGTGCGGGCTTCCATGGTCATGGTGCAAGGCTTCGGGCCAATGCGGCCATATGGACAATGAGAGGCGGAGGGGGCTTGAGACGGGTCCTCGAGGCGATACTCCTGCTGCTCGGGTACTCTAATGCTCTTGAAAGCACACTTGCCGAGAAGATAATTCAAAGATACTGGAATACGGTTTGGGATCTATGCTGGACATAGTTGACAATTCACGACGAGCAAGGGTCATCAACGACGGTTGTAAATGTAACTACACGACAGTTTTACGTCTCATGATTATATCTATTCGAGTTTTCGAGGTGTTTTTGACTTTGGTGGTGATATGGTCCGGAATTCACGGATTTTGGGTAGTATTTGAGAGGTTGCTGCAGAGCTGTCAAGCTAGCTGCAAATCATATCATGGATCTGCCATACTAGGCACTTGCGTCAAACTTGATCAACCTGCCAGGCCACCTCGGCGATCAGTGACATGAATCAAGTAGCAACGGAAAACGCGGATATACAAGGTTCCGTCGACGCCCGTCAGCGGGTCGCAACGAACTGCAAGTCCGAATTCCATCGGGGCATCATTTACAGTAATGGTTTCAGTGATTGACGAGACAAATAATGTTGGCTTGGTCAAGCCAAAAAGAAATGTGGCAAGGCTGTGGCTGAAAGATGTTTACTTACGGGGGGGTGACTAGAACTGGAATCTGATAAAACTGAGCACCTCAAATGTAGCGCTAACGCACGCGCAAGGAACTGGCAAGTTGACTTTCAGCCACTGGAGGTTTGGCCTTTTCTGACCTAAAGCAGCTGAGGTTTCTTGGGTAGTTAGCTGTGCATGGATGTGGTCCAGAACGTCATGGACTACGTCATGATGCTAGATAGTCTAGACCCTTCCAAGTGGATAAAACACAGGATTCATTAAACACCAAGAGAGTTATTTGTGTGACACAAATACTTTGATCACTTTGCCAGGTACTTATTGCCCCCGTTTGTCTCACTATTTCTAATTATGTCCTGCCCCATTTTGCCTCTACTCTAATTCCGGACCCCACATTGATATTTGGATCTATGGAGTTTCGGTGGTGGGAGTGGTGATGATCATGATATGCATTGAATCCCAATCACACCTCAGTTACCTCAGTACTAATGTACCAAGTCGCGATCACAATTCAACAGAGCAAACCAAGTAAGTCCAAGCCACAATGAATTATTAAGAACATCCGAGCAATCGATCCCGTTTGCCCCTGTTCACTTTATCTCTAATTATATTATTTATTATTTAACTAAATTAAGTGATTATATTGCTTATTATATCTA